CAAGGAAATTTTTTTTTTTTTTTTTTTATTCCCAATGTGGAAAACATTTGTGCTGCTGAATAATTTTGTGGAATCCATGATACGTTTTTTTTTTCCAGGATTCTTTGATGAATAGAAAGTTCAAAAGAACGGTATTTATTTGAAATTGAAATTTTTTGTAACATTATACTGTAAGTAAGGGTGGGCGATGACCAAAATCTTATTTCACAGTATGAGAAATTTTATTTCAAGATACTAGTATGTACCTCGATATAGCTGTTTTTATTTTATTTTTGTTATTAAAATTAATAAAAAGAAGCAAATTACAAGCACAACAGAACAAATAAATATGAAATAAACTTAATTTATTCAGCTACAGTAGGCTAGGTTTATTTAACATGTAGTAAGAAATATTACAGAAATTGAATAGTGTATAAATAAAACACTGCATAGTCTTCACTGTATCAATCAAACTTGATTAACATTAATAATGACAGACAGCAGCAGGTTAAAAAAAGGCTGCTGTCCCTTTAAGACCGACTGTACGGATCCAATTTACTGAAACGCATTCGGTTTTCACCCAGCTCTTTTACATTTATTAAACCCATAACCGACTTTGTTTACTTGAATACTCCACACGACGGGCATTATGACATTACTGTGTGCGTATTTGACCATTCAAGCACAATAAAATATGAAAGAGATCTGTTTTCGCGATCGCATGCTGTCTGAGAGGGGCTTTCAGTGCACGCACTTCGGCTGTGTGTCAGTCAGCGTGAGCACCGCATTGAGTTCTTTTTCACTGCTTATTGTACTTAACTCTACCAAGTGCGTCCCACTCTTTATTTTCCTTATCACTCAAAGGTGAATATAACGTTTAAGCAGTACTATGTTACGCAGATATATTTGCATACCACGGAATACACGATATAGCAAAATCTCTAACAATAAGACACTTTATTTTGCTGTAACGATATATACCGTCATACCGCCCAGCCCTAATTATAAGTGTCTTTACTGGCTTATGAATTTAATTCATCCTTGATTAATAAGTATTAATTTATTTCAATAAATCTTACTGACTTTTGAATGGTAGTGTACGTGCTCCACCACATCTAATCAAATATCCATTGAGGTGTAACCGACTTGCACCATGTCAGGTTCTGCATCTCCCTATTGTTGTAAGTTGACAGACTTATTCTGTTGGAGAGGTCTTGGAGTTTTTGCAGTCTTAACATAAATAAACTTTTGTTGAAGCTTTTCCACTTCATAATTTTTTCAATATCAAAAAACAATTTTTGTTTAGAATGTCCTCCTTCAGATAATTATTTAAATTGATATTTTTAGTGCCAGTAGCTAACACCACATTCTATAATAATAGCATTTTCAAAGGTTGTATGTTGAGATGGTTTCTGATAGTGTTGTCACGGTACCAAAATTTCAGTATTCGGTAGGGCTGGGTATCGTTCAAAAAGTTTCGATACCGATACCTTGAC